CATAAGATTGTACGGTCAAGGAATATTAATGTAATTTAAGTCTGTAATTTGCTCACAGAAGGATAGAAGATGAAAATAGGTCGCAAAGTAATTTATGCAATTTTCTATGTTTCACGTGTGAAGTAGGCTATCTGCTTATATTTTATGTGTGAAATATACGGATTAATTTTAACGGAAGTGCAATGTTAAACAACTCCCACGTACGGTATAAAATATGATTCTTTCATTATGAAATCTGCGGTTCGCTTTATCAGTTCATGCCCCAAAATATATAATATCTGTCTTTCTTTCCCTATCTCTCTCTCCTGCTCTGTCTTTCATATTTTATCCCCCTTTTCTCCTTTTCGCGTTCTCTCTCTCTCTCTCTCTCTCTCTCTCTCTCTCTCCCTGTCTTTCTCTCCCTCTCTCTCTTTCTTTCTTTCTCTCCCAGCCACTTACCTCCACCCTCCTTTTCTCTTTTGCCCTCTCCTCACGCCCTCACCTCCGCCCCCACCCTCTGTCTGTCTGTCTGTATCTCTCTCTCTCTCTCTCTCCTCTCTCTCTCTCTTCTCTCTCCCTCTCTCTCTCTCTGTCACACACCATCAAGACATTGCATACAGATGTTCCTGCGTCGAGATATCGATAATAAAACGATTCATATTTAGATTTTCAAATTCTTAAGGTTGATAACAAAATATGGGTCGATACATAACACCTGGAATTTGTCTCGTCTGTCTTCCTAGCCGTTTCTTTCTCGTTGGATGTATAAAATAATGATACTTGGGGTATTAAAATGTAGCGCAGGTGTGGATTTCTCCATCCTTCCTATCAAACATCCATCATCTTGATCTCTCCATTTTCATTTTTGTGTGTGTTGCTCTCTTTTAAGACCTCAAATTTACTTCATTTATATGGCCGACAGTATATTGTGTTGCAAGTGCCGTAAAACTCGAACTAAAAACAAATTCTGCAAATGCAAATACCAATAACCTCTTCTCCCTTGGGATGTTTTGTTGTCAGTTTAGGAGCTATTATTAATCTCCTCAAGCGGGCTATTGAAGGGTGCCACTGGTAGGTTCTGCTTCTTTACTTTCCTTCTGTTGTTACTGTCTGTTTGAGTTACATTTACCCGGCACTGAATGGCCATTTTGCGTCGATGTGCTTCTCCTTACTCAAACTTATACTCAAACTCAAACTAATTCCTGCACGAAATTGTATGGGTTGGACGATTAATTTTTTTTCTTACTTTTAAGAAATGATTCCTGCCATTGCCATGCAACATCAAATGGATGTGTTCTTGGGTAAACTTTTGAAAGGACTTCCGTAACAAGCGACCGGCCACCCCAACAAACTCACCCAAGCCGCCCTCACCCTTACACTAGCCCTTATCCTAATCTTTAGGTTTCACAGTACTCACTTGTTCCGGAATTCCTCCCAAAACTTAGTAGATCTAATGATATAATTCCTAGTAGGAAAACAGCGGCAGTTTTTTTTTTATTGTGGTTCCTTACCTTACGATAGAGACATCTGAAGAACTAATGTGTTTCAAGGTTTCAACCCCCCCCCCCCCAAAAAAAAAAAAAAAAAAAAACCGACACAAAGTTAAGTTCCGCCTATGCATTCAAGGCCGTAGATCTAGAGCCAAACAAATGAAGATACCAAGGAACACATAAGAAGATGAAGGTGTAGGAGGGGGGGGGGCAACGTCTGAAAGTTCAGAAAAGATTGATTTCAGTGTTTAAAGCATATGGGACAAAACTGTAACGGTAGAGTTGCTGTAGAGAAAGAGATTTAAAGAGGGAGAGAGAAAGAGAGAGAGATAGAGAGGGAGAGGGAAAGAGAGGGAGAGAGAGAGGGAGAGAGATTCACAGGTGAAGAACCACAGTCAAATGGCAAAAAAATAGGCCACGGTTTTTTTGGGGGGCGAAGGAACATTAATTTACCTACAGTCTGCTGTGTTGCTACTCCTTAGCGAGAAAGACGGTGTGTGCTTGTCGACCGCTTTTACTACTCAGGGCGCGGCTGGATGCACGTTGGAGTAGATCTATGTTGTAAAAAGGTAGGAATCGTCTTTGGGAATTTCATGTTATGGTGGTAGCATCAGTAGGGCATCGTGGTGAAATCAGGCTCTCGTGGTAATGGAAGGGATGAAACCGACATTTTTCGACCTGTTTGGCATTAAAAGAAATAACAATAAATTTCTGTGTACATGCTCAGCACCTAGATCTATTGTGACCATTTAGAATACGTTCCAGTGTCCAATTTGCTTTTCAGAAGTCGATCAAAGGCACAAAAACCATAAATGTTCAGTTTCCAAGGACTCTCAAGCTATGGAGGTCTCCAAACTTTAGCCGTCGTTTTCTCGATAATTTTCCTCCTGAAACCATTTGAATCCCACCTGTTTCAAAGGCACATATCCCGACTTCTTCTCAAAATCAATGGGTATGTTTTTTTCATTGAAAGAATAACAAATTAACAGGCTTTAAAATAATACCAATAACTACATAATATGCCCAACAAAATTGGCCTGCGCCTGATTCCTCAGCGTAGTGAAACGTCTCTGAACATCAGCCATTATGTTTAGGTAGAATTGTGTAGGCCGCTGTACTGAGTTGTACTGAGCTTATCAACTATTGTGAAAGCAGAAAGAACTTCAGTGCTGACAGGAAACACGTATTAAGATAAAAACGTTCATTTCTTGTAGATGTCTGATAATAAAAATACTGAATAAGATCCAACAGGTAGACTTGTAAGAATTGATGAATACAAAACATCAATAAAAGTTATACACTCAGGTCAAATGTACCAGAAGTAAAGGTGTGTGTGGTTGTGTGTGTGTGTGTGTGTGTGTGTGTGTGTGTGTGTGTGTGTGTGTGTGT